GCCTCTCTCGGCATTTCTCTGGAAAATTCCTGGTTAATATCTATGTCCATACTTTAAAACCAACCACGTCGTTACGAATACCCCAAATCACCGACGGCAACGAATAACCGAACTAACTGACGTCAATGATATACGAAAAAAACCGATGTCAATGATATACGAAAAAACCCGGCGGCAACGATACACAGTGGAAACAAACCACACTATTCCTCTGCCACGCTTCCCTCCTTTCCTTAGACGTCTTACTCTGCGTCTCTGTCTCTTCTCAGCCGTCTCTAACCGTACCGCCTTTCTCTGCTCTGTATCGGCGGGCTATCGAATTAGGCCCTTGATCTCGCGGCCTCTCTTGATCTCTCCGTGTGCTACCTGTACGTTCGATCCTTAAGTCGACCGGTTCGGCCCCCATGCACCGGCGGCTTAGCTCGAAAATATAGATATTGACGGACAAGACCGATCGTTCAAGTAGCAACACTTTCGGAACAATAGTTTATTAACAAAAAACGCAACAAACAATAACGAACAAATGTGTTAAGAGCAAATACGTACAATCGCGGACAATCAATAGTAGGAAAACAAAAAGTTACCAGGATAGGGGAAACCCAAACGAGGCGCCACGAGGCGACAACTGAGGTAAGACCCCAAGGGTCCTTCTGCCGCTCTTTTTATGCGGGAGGTTCCCGCCCAACCCCGCGCCTCTTAGGCGGTCGATCAATCCATGCGTGATCGACCCTCCTCCTTACTACACAGGTGGTCATTCGAGCTCTCCCTCTCCGCGCGACACAAACTTTTATATGTACAAGCAATGTGGATTTTTAGTGCCACCCATTACTCTGCACTTCCGTTTGTTAAGGACTCATCCGTACTAAATCAACTTTACCCATTCTCTTGTCGCAACTGAAGTCCTTAATGATATAGGTGCAGCCTTCTCACGGTTGAGAAGTGTAGTAAGCAAGGGGGACCAGATGTTGGTAGATAGTGACTGATGTTGAGCTATTTTCAACTCATTTTCCTGCATTTCAATAAAAAATTGCTGTCATCATTTTGCACATTTAGCGCATTCTACCTCGCCCAAGGGAAGAGTGCCTGGCGAAGCCGGGCCGTGAAACAGAAGGAGGAGCACCCGGCGGCAGCCGGGTGATCCGACTGGTAGTAAAATAGTGGGATGAGTTCATTTTCTAGGGCTATCAGAGAAGTGATGGCTAAAGGAAAAGTTTGCACACTGAGCCTCCAATACTTGGCAGTATAGTGATAAGAGATGTAATGAGAGCGGTCCCTTATCTTTCTTATCAATTGATAAGACTGCCTGTCACCCATCATCAGTCCTTATCACTACCTCTCTATAATTTGGTAGTCCAGTAAAGGCTCCAACACCTTGACTG